TTTTTGAGGAAGATTAGCCCTGAGCTGACATCCATGCCCATCTTCCTTTACTTTATATGTGGGTTGCCTGCCACAGCATGGCTTGATAAACGGTGCATAAGTTCACACCCGGGATCTGAACTGACGAACCCCGGGCCGCTGAAGTGGAGTGCGTGAACTTAACTGCTGTGCCACCAGGCTGGCCCCTATCTATGACTTTTTAAAGCTGAATTCTACTCTTACCAGCCAATGTTGGTATTTGCATTTTGCAAAAGGATGTCTGACTGCCCCTTAATCACTCTTGACAATATAGTAGTTCCAGAAACCTGCACACTGAGAAGTGGTAGTAAATAATAGTAGGGAGGAGAGAAAAGTCATTCTGGCACACTGAGAAGGGGTAGTAAATAATAGTAGGGAGGAGAGAAAAGTCATTCTGGCATTTTAGATGAAAAATTAAAGAAGCAAGTTACCATGTTAACCCTGAGTATATAGTTGACGTACAAAGTGATGACTGAGTCAGCAAGAAAAGGTCAAGATACATTCATTACTATTAATAAGAAAGAGACGAAGTACATTTTAGAAAGATTAAAGTGGTTGAAGTTTTATTGCTTAAAGGAGTAAATCTCAGGGGCCGGCCCAGTGGCACAGCAGTTAAGTGTGCATGTTCCGCTTCAGCGGCCTGGGGTTCGCCGGTTTGGATCCCGGGTGTGGACATGGCACCGCTTGGCAAGCCATGCTGTGGTAGGCGTCCCACATATAAAGTAGAGGAAGATGGGCACGGTTGTTAGCTCAGGGCCAGTCTTCCTCAGCAAAAAAGAGGAGGATTGGCAGCAGTTAGCTCAGGGCTAATCTTCCTCAAAAAAAAAAGAATAAATATCAGTTATCTGGAAAATTATCTTTTGTGGAATACCTCTTTGCTTCTTAAAGGAAACGTTAATGCATTATATTGAGGTTATTACTGCAACAGAATCTTCTAAAATTTGTGAATGTACTCCAATCTGTTTCTGGAATCTATTCCAGGTATAGCATGTACTCAGATGATTTTATAATCCAGAGAAGCATGGAGCAAAGGAGCAAACAGTTGGTTAGCTAGGACATCGCATGCAACGTAGAGATTAGCAAATAAGAAAAGTTATGCGAATAAAATGTTAATAGATGACTAGTTTAATATTTCTTTGTTATTCCTACAAATGCATCTCATGATGTATGTAGTCAGAATCATAGTTATTTAATCTTCTCCTTTCCCGTCCATTGCCTTTTTCAGGACCATGGTTCGTTGGTGAAATCACTAAGGGCAAATTGGGTTGCTGCTTCTCCTTTGGGATCTTTGTTGATGGACATTTCCTACAAGGCAGCCTAACATTTATAGTTGGAATTCTCCAGGTAAGAAGTCAGAAATGCAGTTTAAGAACATCTTGGCCTTGTTGGACTAATTGCATAACAGTTACAAATTAAATCCAAAATCCCAAATTAAACACCACGGATCATGTTTCCTAATTTACTGGCAGGGCAATCTTTAATATCAGGTGTTTTGTTTCCTTTTAGAGTGCTTCCGAAGCTCTTTCTTCCACCACTCTCTTGTAAATATCTAAAATACAGTTTTGGCAGACGGGGTTTATAAGAGGTGAAAGAGATTTTTGTTTTTGTTGTTTGTTTCACTGTGCTTTTTCATTGAGAAAAAAATGAAATAAGGGACTAATGGTAGAATAAATGCTAGACTTCTGAGTAAACCAAAATTGATTATGATACTGAAGAAGGAAAATGTTTCAGAGGGAGGAAAGGAAAAACAGACACACAAGAAAAGTGGGTCAGTTATCCACTGGAAGCTCTCCTGGGCAGAAAGGAGACCTGGCTTTCTAGCGATATCTTAGCAGTGCATTTGTTTGGGAAACACTCATACGTTAGGTTTACATTTGGATTAAGATTCCTTTAAGACAAGCAAACACAAACAAAAAAACTCTGACCCGTAGCAAATCTCTATAAATAGGTCTGAAAACTATTTACCTAACAATTTATTTATTTTACTCACCTAATGGGGCAAAAGGACCAAAATCTGAAGTAATGATATGAAGCTTTGGAAGAAATCCAAAAACATTGTTCAAAATGAGTTCACAGCCTCGTAATAGGACAGTAAAACGTGATCAGCAAGATTAGATACAGACAAATTAGGGAAGACCTCTGCCTAGCAAACACTGACTAGAAGCCAGAACATTCTCTGTACAGCAGCATTTTATATGTGAGTAGGTCCTGGGTTCAGTTCAGTTTTCCATTATGTAGATGGAGGCCGGTTCTCCCTGTGTGTGGAGCAGTCTTATATCAAGTAAAACCTGATCCTTACCAAAAGGTGGGTTTACATTCATATTTTAATAAAAGTACACTAATAATGGGTTTTATGTGTCAGGTAGGCCCATGACTCCCAAATCTATATCTCTGACCTAGACCTCTTCTCTGCATTTCAAGTGCCTATATATCCAACTGCCATTTCACATCTCCCCTTAGGTATCTAAAAGTCATCTCAACTTAATATTCTGTCTCTAATAAGGCCTTTAATGTCTACCCTCAAACCTGTTCCTCCCCCACTTCTTTCCAATTTCAATAAATGGCTCCACCATTCTCTTAGTTTCTCCAGGATGTATCCTCAGTTCTTCCCCATTGCTCATACCCTATGTCTAGTTCATCAGCAAGTAGTTCCTTGTTTGAGCTACCTCCAGCACATATCTTGAATCCACCACTTCTCTCCATCTCTGTTACCACCACCCTAGTCTAAGCCATAATTATTTCTTGCCTGGACTCCTGCAGTAACCCCCTAACTGGTCTTCCCACTGCTGCTCTTGCCTCTCTACTGCCAGTTCAACACAGAGCATCCACTGTGGTCCTTTTAAAACCTTAATCAGCTCACTTACCTCTCAGCTTAAAACCCTTTAAGCAGAGCAGTAACATGATCTGGGTCCTGCTGACTGCCCCACTTTCCACCTGGCTCATCCTGTTCCAGGCCCATTGGCCTTAAAGAGGTCAAGATCGTTTTTCATTTGTTTCTCCTGCCTGAATTGTACTTCCTTTCACCTACTCATTCCTGTTACCCTCTCATGACCTAGTTATTTACTTTGTTGTATTTATCACAATCTGTAATTATCTTTTTTGTTTTTTTTGTCTATTTTTTTGTTTCTCCTCTCCCTGTTGGAATGTAAGCTCTATGATGCATCTTTTCTGACTTGTTCACCAGTGTGTTCCTAGCTTAGAGCCTAGCACAGTGCCTGACACATAATGGGTGTTCACTAATTATTTAGTGAATGAATGAATGAATCATACAGCAGCTAAACTTGGATTATAACTTAACTCTTCTAATTTATATGCTAGCATTCATCAGGCTATTTCAAATAAAAAAAACAGAGATAAAAAAATATTGACACCTAAGTCCCTTCCTCGCTCTGCCAAAAAATACAAATATATATATATTCACACACACACATGTTCAGTTCATTTCCACCTTAGACATTATTGAGGGCTTCAACATAAGTGAAATGATACCTGCCTTTAAGATGAACAGAAAGATACAGGCAAATACACAACTAACTACAGGTCAACTGTTGTGAGTATTATATGCAAGTGTGATTGAAGCTCAGAGAATCAGAGTTAACCCTCAAGAGAGAAAGCAACATATTCTTAGGAGCCACCAATGATGTATTAGTGAGACCCACACGCTTAAGGGCTTGCTAGTAAGTGAGTGGTTCTGTTGTGCTCCTCTTTCCAGCTGGTGTTTTTTAACATCCCCTTGATGGCTTACCTGTGTTGGAGCTTGCTGCAGCGGTGCTTTGGTCACAACTTCAGGTCTCACCTCCATCAAGGAAGATACTTGAAAATCATACCTGTTCACCTACTGATGTTGCTGCTGTACATCTGGCAGATGTGTTCCTGTTACTTTCTTCATATGACATATGGCACTTTAGCTTTTTTATTCTCCCCTTTGCGGACCTGGTTGACACTGCTGACACCTCTTCTCATTCGTTGTGTGTGGACACTGAACTCCACCGAACTTGGAGTCTTCATAGTGCAGTTAAAAAGTCACTTGAGCTCCTGAAGGCCGGGTCTCGCCAGCCGCCTCCGGAGCCCAGGCCTCTGCCCCAGCAGCAAGTGAAAGGCCAGTGTTGGTGGGCAAGCTTCAGGAAGCTGCTGCTCCTTGGACGCCTGGGAATTGGGGGGATTACCTACTACTGATTTCTGCACAGTGGACTGCAGAAAAGTCTAAATAATGCTATGATTCCTTCCTTCCCCAAGAAGGCAAAGGGTTGATTTATGTTTCTGAAGGGAAAGCCCTAATCTAGGAGATCCACAGGGCAGGGACTGGGTCTGTGTATGGGAGTATCTGAGGCCCAGTGTGTTTTAGGATTACCTCATGTAAAGTACCTAGCACAGTGTTGGAACTTAGCAGCCGTCAAGGGTGCCACCTTTAGGGGCCGAGAACCAGGGAGAACTTGGGCTCGACCCTAACTACCCTTGAGATATTAGGTCCCAGTCCTCTTTCCCCGCAGTGTTATGGGCTCTCTGCTTCCTTAGTGAGGGTGTTTTCAACTAATCAAATAAATGAATGATGAATAAGAAAGAACTCGGACAAGTTCCTTTACTTATGTCGCCCTGCATCGGAGGACGGGAGGAGGCGTGACCGGGCCTCTGCGGCGGAAGGAGGTGTGGCCGGGGCTCTGGGGCGGGGGAGGGCGTGGCCGGGGCTCTAGGGAGGGAGGAGGCGTGGCCGGGCCTCTGCGGCGGAAGGAGGTGTGGCCGGGGCTCTGGGGCGGGAGAGGGCGTGGCCGGGCCTCTGCGGCAGAAGGAGGCGTGGCCGGGGCTCTGAGGCGGGGGAGTGGGGGGCGTGGCCGAGCCTTGGAGGGCGGGGAGGGGGCGTGGCCGGGACTCTGGGGCGGGAGGTGGTGTGGCCCGGGCTCTAGGGACGGGAGGGGGCGTGGCCGAGCTCTGGGGCGGAGGGGAGCGTGGGCGGGCCTTGGGGACGGGAGGAGGCGGGCCTGGCCCTCTGACTACAGGGAAAGATGTGGCTGGGCCTCTGGGGCGGGGCGGGGCGGGTTGTTGCCGGAAACGAACCCGGGCCTGTGACGTCCGGAAGTGGAGCAGCTACCGCAGTGTGGCTCTGGCAGCTGCAGAGGCGGCTTTTGTCTGCAAGCTCCAGGCGATCTACTGAGATGGCGAGCGCAGGTGCACCTGCAGCCGCAGTCCCCACCCTGGCTCCGCCTTTGGAGCAGCTCCGGCACTTAGCAAGGGAACTGCGGTTGCTCCTGCCTGGAGTGCGGGGTGAGCTGACGCAGTTGGGACGGGCGACGACAGGGGCGGGCTTGGGGTGGGGGAGAGGCCAGGTTGTGGCGGCGGCGGGGGCAGGGTCCCGAGCGGAGGAGGTGGGGGTCCGAGGTGACTCCGCTTATCTCTCTCTTCCTTTTTCCACCGCCTGCCCACACGCTACACCCACCAGTCGGCGAAGCCCGGGAGACCTCCAAAGAGTTTAATCGGGAGACGTTTTGGAGTAGACTCAGTGAGTGCGTCTCCTGTTGGGGACTCCCATCTGTCATCTCTTCCAGCGTTCCGACCCCTTCCCCTCCCGCTTTCCCCCGCCGGTCCTCTCTGTGGGGATACCTCACCTTACCCGTACATACTCGGCGTCTCAGAGGTTGATGTAAAACATTGATTCTTGGAGGTGTTTTTGAGACGTCTCAGCCAGCAGGGGTGGAGAAGGGAACGCTTTATCTTCCAAGTCCGTGTAGCAGCTGCAGCATCATCCTTATGGCGCTACGTATTGACTCCTGCCTCCTCCTCTGTCACCCCCAGATGAGGCAGCCGTGAAGGTGTCCGGGGAAGCCACGACTCTGACTGAAGTCTTCTCTCGACTTCCACTGCCGTCTCCGCAGGTGGGCTTTATTTTCCTGGAATCATTGTGCTGCCTCCTTATTTCTTAGGAATCCTCTCATTTTCTTTTCACCTTTTACACTCAAACCAGGGGATTTATTTTTCTCGTCTGTCAAATAAGATTTCGGTTCTCATCTCACAGGATTGTTGTGAAGACCAAATTGCCAAGTGCAGTACCTGGCGTGGAGTGGGACAGTCTTCTAAATATTGGTTCAATTTGAAGTTCATCCTGGTTATTTCCTCCCTGATAATGTTTTTTAAGCACTTGCTGTTTGCTGGGTGCTTTCACATACATCGCCATCTGGCAGATGTGTAAGCAGGCTCAGAAGCTCAGCTTAGGGTAAATAAGCAGCAGAGCTAGGATTTAAATTAGAGTCTATCTGATGTCTAGGCTACACTTTTTCTGTTATACTACGTAATACCCTTGTTATATTGAATTATTTTTTATATTTAATCAGTAACATGTATACAGTATAAAATTCAAAAGATATCAAAGTTGTGTGCTAAAAAGTTTATATCTCCCCTCCCCAATTCCTTTTGTGTTACTCCATGTATATTCTATGCATATACACACTTATGTGTATGTGCCTGTTTCTTTTTACACAAATGATAGGATACCATGAACACTTCCCCTTCTGAACCTTCCTTTTTAAAAAGAATTATCAATCATAGGACATATTATTTTTATTTTTTGTGTGTGTGAAGAAGATTGGCCCTGAGCTAACATCTGTTGCCAGTCTTCCTCTTTTTGCTTGAGGAACATTGTTCCTGAGCTGACATCTGTGCCAGTCTTCCTCTCTTTTATGTGGGATCCCACCACAGCACAGCTTGACAAATAGTGCTAGGTCCACGCCTGAGATCTGAACCTGCGAACCCTGGGCAGCAGAAGCCTAGCATGGGAATTTAACCACTATGCCACAGGGCTGGCCCCCTCATAGCACATATAAATTGATTCTTAGAAGCACTTATAAAGTTGCACAGTTCTTTGTAATGGCTGCATGGTATTTAATAGAGTGGATATAACCATAATTTATTTAACCAATATTGTTAAGTAGACATTTAAGCTGTTTCCAACATGTAACTGTTATAAATAGTGCTGTGGTAAATTGTGTAATACAATCTTTGTTTATGTGTGTATATCTGTAAAAAAAATTCTCAGAAGTGAAATTGCTACAACAAAGAATTTATGCATTTTTAAGAGCGCCTTATTATAAAACTAATGAAAATAAACATGTCAGCTGTGACCAGTTTTTCTAGAGCTAGATATACTTAATTTGGGAGTAAGCTTATTTTAAAATGGCATATTCATTGCCTTATTTGATTTTCATAGTCAATAGTTTCATTCTCTTTTCCAATCTATATATCCAGATGTTTTGAAATGAAAAAATATTTTTTTGCTGCATCTACAATGGTAAAGTCTCTCCCACTACACACCTCAAAGATCTGTGATGAGGAAACAAGAGATGAATTGTATGAGAGCACTTTAAAAGCTTTGTGGAAGAAAGTCAATATTTATTTCAAAAGGAGTAGTAATATTACCTTATTTTTCTTATCTGCTGACTCCCTTCTTTCAAATACACTTAGGACTTGCTGCTAAAATTCACAGCTAGTAAGATACCCTGAGGAGGTAGCATAGAGCTGTTTTTCTTTACACGTTCAGGACAATGGTTTCACTCAGATGAAAAATTAGAATTTGCTTTTATCTGAATTATGTGTATTTGAATCACAGTTGCTTTCTTAGAATCTCAGCACGTTAGTCCTACTGGAGAGTGGTTTTGTTTTTTTTAATTGTGGTCCGTCTGGACTCGTAGTTTTGTAAAATTATGTTTGGATATTGAAGCAGTGTCAGCTTGCTGCAAAAGTTTCTAAATACTCTCAATCACTGTACTTATCCATTCTAGACTGGTGATGAGCAGTTTACAGACTAGCACCAATCTGTGGACCAATTTTGCAAAGTACTGGCTTAGAATCTAGCAGAGAAGTGAGGACAAGGAAGATAGGAGAAAGCCAGTGACTGCTTAGAAGGAAGATAGTCAGCTTTGAGCATTGTAGAGTCCATGCTGATTATCTTTAGGTATACAGTTATGCCTTGCTTAATAATAGATACGTTCTGAGAAATGCATCATTAGGCAATTTTGTTGTTGTGGAAACATGATAGAGTATATTTACACAAACTTAGATGGTATAGCCTACTACACCCCTAAGCTTTATGGTACTAATCTTATGGGACCACTATTGTATATGCGGTCTATCATTGTTGGAAACATTGTTATGCAGCACTTGACTGTCTTGTGATTCTGTTAGAGAGATCAGACACCTGGTTATTGGTCTAAGATAGGGTTGGCAAACTTTTTCTGTAAAGGACCAGATAGTAAATATTTTATTAGGCTTTGCAGGCCAACTACTTAACCCTGCCCTTGTAGTGCGAATACAACTACAGATGGTCCCTGACTTACGATGGTTTGACTTACGATTTTTTGACTTTATGATGGCGCTGTGTGAAAGAAATACGCATTCAGTAGAAAGCAATACATATTCAGTAGAAACTGTACTTTGAATTTTCAGTTTTGATCATTTCCCCAGGCTGGTGGTGTGCAGTACGTACTCTCTCATGATGGTGATGCTGGGCGGCAGCAGGTAGCCACAGCTCCCAGTCAGTCTTGCAATCACAAGGGTGAACAAGGGTACACTTAAAACCATTCCATTTTTCAGTTTCAGTATGGTATCCAATAAATTACATGAGATATTCAACACTTTATTATAAAATAGGCTTTGTGTTAGGTGATTTTGCCCAACCTTAGGCTAATGTAAGTGTTCTGAACACAGCTAAGGTACATTAGGCTAAGCTCTGATGTTCGGTAAGTTAGGTGTCTTAAATGCATTTTCAACTTATGATATTTTCAACTTACAATGGGTTTATTCCGGTGTAACCCCATCATTAAGGAAGAGCTCTATAGATAATATGTAAATGAAAGAGTGTGGCTGTATCACAGTAACACTTTATTTATAAAAACTGGCAGTGGGCCTCATTTGGCTCATGGGCCATATTTGCTAACTCCTGGTCTAAGGTATGGTGACTACCTCACAGAAGATCATGAATGTCTTGGGATATAGACTATCAGGAATAAGTTTTTCCTGCCCTTTCTTAATGTTTTAATGAGTTGTCAGTTCAGGCTCTGGTGTCTGGCTGACTCCTCTCTGGTATGTGCTAAGAATAGCACAAGGCCTAACTCATACTAGGACTTCAGAAAATGTTTGATGATGCTGTATAGATGTCTGCTCTCTTCCACAGCAGATGGGTTGACCACATTAATATAATCCATTTCCTTTTTTCATTCTGAAATGGGTCCATGACCTCATAGGAAACCCAGAGGTTCTGTGAACAAGTCCATGCTGCCATCCAGGCAATTATTGCCATATACTATTCGCTTCCCAAGGATCAGGGTAAGCCACTATGTGCACATAAATGTTCAGTTTATAGAGTAGATCTTTGATAACATGACAGCTTGTGTCCTGAAACTTTTTACCGTTTCCTCAATTTGAGCATATAATGTAACTTTCTCCCATAAAATGCAGTCAAGGATAATTTTATAGCATCAGTAACCTCCATAAATAAGCCTTTATGCTAAGGTACAGATGCTGTGTTCCTATCTCCTCTGCCTTGCCGGACTCTGAGGTTTTTAATTCTTACTGGCTCCTCCATCTCTAACCCACAGATGCTGGCTTAATCTCAGCCCTATACCCAGGCCCAGGCGGTCCCCTGTCTCCTCTAGCCCTGTTACAGCACACCCTGTTTCTGAGTTCCCTTATAGGTTAGCTGACCTCCAGCCCTGCCTGTAGATTAATGCCTTGATTATAATCATGCCAAAATTATAAATGAATACATCTCTCATGGATCTTCAGGGTTACTCGCGAATGGTTTAAACTCTTAAGTGGTTCATCCACACTTGTCAAGGTACCATACTGTTCTTTGTGCATGAATACATGCTGTCATGGAAAGATTTTATTCCAGATCTCTGGAGAAAAGCACTAAGGAATGGTGGGAGGAGCAAGAAAATGACATGGGATATAAACAAGACCTGAGTTTTGTGTCGGCATTCCAGTTAAAGCATGTGGGTGCTCATTACCTCAGGTTCTGTAGGGCTTAAACTCTCAGAAAAGCAGATAGTGACTTCTGGAAAGAAGACCAGGCTGCTGAATCTTTGCATTTGGCTACAGGAATCACCCTGAGGAAGCTGGTTCGGAGTGCCACTGTGGACATTGTGGATGGCATGGCTCAGCTTGTGGAAGTGCTTTTCATCACTCCAGCTCAGAGGTAGTGATGCCACAGTTGGGGTTATCAGTTAATGGGGTTCTTTGCTTCAGGGAGGGGAAAAGCTCATTTCAACAGCAAAGTTACCGATAGCTGAGAATGATGACCAGCAGGAAGGAGCTTTGTAGGAGACAGGAACCTAGGTTATTGATATATCCTTATTGATTCCTTTCCCCAGCCCCGAGAACAATGACCTTATTTCCTGCAACAATGTCTGGGTTGCGTGCCAGCAGGTGCCTCGGATACCAAGAGGTGGGTGAGAGTGGGAAGTGGGCCACTGACTCTGCTGGCCATAGCAGACAGACCTCTCATTCTGGTTTCCAGTTTTATAGCATGTATGTATTTTAACTTCTATAAAGAGGTTAGTGGAATTTATATTGTTTATCACCAACATCAAAAGATAGGCCTTAATACCTTTTGACAGTCTTTTTAGTTCTCACACTTCTGAATTCAAACTCCCCTCCCCCTCTGGCCTTCTTGTTAAATAAATGTGGTTTGTTCTCCTAGTCCTGCCCTAGGAGCAGTAAAATGGGACACACCGAAGCAGTTATAAGGTAGAGCCAGCTAGGCCAAAAGCAGTGGTCATCCAAGAGGACCATGGTGGGAAATATTATGTGACCATTTTATTTCTTCTTGTGGTGAATGAGGAAAAGCTTTTTAGCCCCCAGTCTGGGCACCCAGAGGATGTGGGTGGGAAGAGTTTTACATTAAACTGCCACCCTTATTTACTGTCCTTGGCACTCCCTTCAGATGGGAACACTGTTGGTTGCCCTTTGCAGATTTAAGAGAATTATTGGGTTTCTGCTGTAATACCAGTGCTTCTGATTTTTCACTCGTAGATAACAAAGCTGCAGCCCTTTTAATGCTGACAAAGAGTGTGGATTTTGTGAAGGATGCACATGAGGAAATGGAGCGGGTGAGGCGACCTCTGTCTTTGTTGATCATTGGAAGGCAACTCTGTGACTAATAGATGAGAATTGATTATAGAGGCGATGTCCTGAGCATTGACCACATAGGTCCCATCCTCACTCCTGTCCCCCATCTCCCACCTCCCACCCCATGCCCATGTGTGATTTGGTACCACACCCCTCTGTTCCATTGCTGGTCTAAGAGAGTGAGAACAGGGTTTATGAAGTGATTCACCTCTGTGGTCATTAGTGAAGTAGCTGGCTGAGGTTTGGGGACAACTCAGACATGATGCTGAAAGTATAATATGCTTTTTTTTTTTTGCGTTCAAATATATCATGGTATGTCTTAGGCTGTGGAGGAATATGACCCTTACTGTGGCCTTTTGAATGACACTGAGGAGGACAACTCTGACAACTACGGTGATGAAGGGGATGATGTGTTGGGATGTCCAAACAATCGGGACTTATATTGGTCAGAGGAAGACCAAGAACTTATAATCCCATGCCTTGCACTGGTGAGAGCATCCAAAGCCGGCTTGAAGAAAATCCGGATCTTAGTGGCAGAGAATGGGAAGAAGGATCAGGTGGCCCAACTGGATGACATTGTGGATATTTCTGATGAGATCAGCCCTAGGTGAGCATGATCCCCACTTGAATCTTCTGGGCAGCAGCATTCTGATCTCAGCTTGTGCTGTCACCCCAAGATTTTTCCCCAGTTTTCTATTTTGAAAATTTTCAAACCTACAGGAAAGTTGAAAAATTATTGCAGTGAACACCCATCGTTCATCTAGATTCCCCTGTTGTTCACATGTTTTTCTATGTTGGTTTCTCTATAGATAGACGTGCCATTTTTTTTCCCTGAACCATTCAAGAGTAAGTTGCAGACGTCAATGACGTTTCACCCCTAAATACTTTGGCACGCATCTCCTAAGAACAGGCATTCTTATTCTTATTTGCATTATTACATCCAATAAATTTGACATTGAATATAATAATATTATCTAAGATTCAGATTTTCCCAGTTGTCTCTAAAATGTCCTTTATAGCTTTTTTGTTTTTTTTTTAATCCAGGGTTCCATCAAGGTGTCACCTTGCATTTGGTTGTCATCACTTTAGTCTCTTGCAACTAGAACAGTCTCTCTCCTTTTTAGTGTTGTTTTGAAATTAACATTTTAAAGAATCCAAGTTAGTTGTCTTGTAGAATATCCAACAATCTGAATTCATGTGATAGTTTTCTCATGATTATAGATTATATTCAGATTAAACCTTTTTTGGCAAGAGTATCACATAGTTGAATGTTTCGTGTTTCTCATTGCATCATATTGGGGAGGCACATGATGTTAGTTTGTCCCATCATTGGTGGTACTAAATTTGATCTCTTGGTTAAAGTGGTACCCACTACAGTGGCGTTCCAGAGATGAACCCTGCCTATACCGGTTGTTAAATTGATGGTTTCAGATTCTCACATTTTTAACTGAATTAATCATGTCCCATCCTATTGGCCAAGGGAGTTTTTTTCTCCCAGCTTCCTAGTGAAATGGGATATGTCTGCGTTCAGTGAATACCAGTTCAATTGGTTCTTTCTTGGTTGCCTGGTTGCCCAATTTAAGGAACTCATAGGCATTTCTGGGACAGTCATTTTCTTACTAGTCACATCCTTCGTTGTAGACTGGAAACCACCTAGCTGAGCTTTGTTCCTTTTTTGGTTTATGTTTATTTTTGCTTTCTGCCCTTAGTGTGGATGATTTGGCTCTGAGCATATATCCACCCATGTGCCACCTGACTGTGCGAATCAATGTAAGTACCAGCTTTGAGAGAATAGCTACAGAGCTAACTGGTAGAATTTCACCAATCACTAGTATTTCCTTTAAGCTATAGGGAATATCTTTATTTGTTGCACTTGGATGCAAGTGCAACAGTAATGTCACAGTTCTTACAAGTGTTTGTGCTTGATAAATATTCGCTGAAGTTGAATTATAATACCCATGAGCTCTGGTAGCCCTGTCTTCTATAACCACTTGAGTAATCATTTAGAAAAACCCGAAGACTTAGAAAATGCTGGGGCCAGCCCAGTGGCGCAGCAGTTAAGTGCGCACATTCTGCTTCAGCAGCGTGGGGTTCACCGGTTCGGATCCCGGGTGCAGACATGGCACTGCTTGTCAGGCCATGCTGTGGTAGGCATCTCACATATAAAGTGGAGGAAGATGGGCACTATGTTAGCTCAGGACCAGGCTTCCTCAGCAAAAAGAGGAGGATTGGCAGCAGTTAGCTCAGGGCTAATCTTCCTCAAAAAAAAAAATAGTAATGCTGCTTTGAAAAGAAAGTCTTCAGTAATTTAAGATCCTCTCAACCTGAAGTCACAAGTTTCTAATTTCTAGTATAGGCAGAAATAAGTGTTCCGGGGACATACTCTGTTCTAATATAAACACATCATGTGATTTAACCATGGAGGGTCAAGCTCTTTATAAAAATCTGATTTTATTGTATTCTTTCAAGTCCTGGTTCCTGTGGTAGAGAATGTTCTATTTTTAGAAACTCTGTTCTTATCTCTGATATTACTGGAAAAAGAAGTAAAACTTCCAAATGGCTTATATTTTATAACCAGATATATCAATCCTAATAATATTTAATAAATTAGATAGTGGCAATTAGATTCATCAAATGTATCTTCACAATGTGCAAAGACTTTGAAGTAGAATAGGATCCTTTTGGGCATTAAGTTTTTTTTCCCATTCACTTTTTAAAAATTGACTTCCTAAGAAGTAAACATCTTTAGCAATATCCCTCGTCAATTATCCTGAATAAAATTTAAAAATATGTACTATATATTGGTGGCATACATACATCATCATGTTATCTTGCTATTGGTTCTTAAAATTCTGTACATAGATTTTTTTTTTTTTTTGGTGAGGAAGATTGTCCCTGAGCTAACATCTGTGCCAGTCTTCCTCTATTTTGTATATGGGATGCCACCACAGCCTGGCTTGATGAGTGGTCTGTGCCTGGGATCCAAACCCACAAACCCTGGGCCACCAAAGCGAAGCCCACGAACTTAACCACTACGCCACCAGGCTGGCTCTGACTTTCGTAAAAAGAAACATGAGTTGTTTCTGCTATATATTCTGAGCTGTCAGCAGCTGGGACAAATTCAGCTTATGTTCTTCCTTTTTCTGTTTTTTTTTTAATTAAAAAATATTTTAAATTTAAAAAAATGTATAAAAATGTTATAGCAACGCTATTAATCAGACTTTGCTAATTAGAAAGGAGTCCATAATCCTACTATCCTAATGTAATCAGCATTTTTGTTTTTGTCTATTTCCTTCAAGATTCTTTATTTTACGATGTTTTATTATTTGAGTCTTTTAAAATATTTTAGCTCTCTTTTCTTTTTTAGGGTAGGGCTCAGGGTGAGTAACTTCTGTTTCTTTTCTAGTCTGCGAAACTTGTATCCGTTTTAAAGAAGGCCCTTGAAATTACAAAGTGAGTATGAGGACTTCTCCACACATAGCTTTTTGAGAATAAGCTATCCAGCCATTCTCCACTCCCAAATCCCTATTTCAGGGAGTGGAGGAAGGTGGGTATGGTGTCTTCTTTCAACTTCGGCTGTGGAGCAGCTGAGTTTCTGCAAAGAAACTTGCCTTACTATAGTTCCCTCTGTGCCCCTGTTGAGGATAGATTTTTCCCTTGACAGTATAATAAATTTGACCTCTTTTTTCCCATTCCATTCACAGAGCGAGCCATGTGAACCCACAGCCAGAAGATAGTTGGATCCCTTTACTTGTTAATGCTGTTGATCATTGCATGAACAGAATCAAGGAGCTCACTCAGAGTGAACTTGAGTTATGAGTTTGCAGGCTCATTTGTGCTCTCCTCTTTCCCTTCCTTACTGTCACAGCCAGGCTCTGATGTCTGTGTTTAAAATGGGGCTAGACTGCTTTCTAGATAGAAAGGGAGTCCCTTTCTGTACTTACCCAGAGACTCTATCACCAAAGATTCTTGGTTAGGCCAGACTGGCAATTATTTATAAACCATACGAGTATGATTTATTTTTCTGTGCTAGATAAAAAAGTAATTGCATGAGTTTGGGTTCCTGAGAGGTCTCTCAGAGATTCCTGGGGAAACTGCCTTGTTTCCTATTTACAATAAAATGTGTCGTTTTATTGTTAAAGATGTTGGTAGTCTCAATAAAATGCTAACCTGCCAGTGGTTAAATGAGTACCCTTCAAAGTTTCTTTCTACCAGGAATACAGTCGGTTGAGACTAAAACATTGCTTTCATTTGAGTTTATAGGTCTAAAGATCTGATTTGATCAGAAGTATATTTAGAACAAAAACATTTGATTTTAATTTATTTAGAGAAAATGACTCCAAAGGCCCTGTTAGTACTTCAGCATATTATATAAGATCAGTATTCTTAAGTCCTTCTGAATATTATTCCAGGTTACTCCATGCCTCTAAAATTATTTTTTGGTATTGAGCTCATTTGTTAGGTTTGTCCACCTTATTGAACAGATTTTTTTTTCTTGTACATACCTGTATTGTTGTTCTCTGTTATATGTTACATCTGTCTCAAATTTAGATACACAATTTTTATAAATCAAAAAATGGTAAATGTCTAAGAGAGTTTATATAATTTTTTTTAAAGATTTTATTTTTCTCCCAAAGCCCCCTGGTGCATAGTTGTGTATTTTTAGTTGTGGATCCTTCTGGTTGTGGTGTGTGGGATGCTGCCTCAGCATGGCTCGATGAGCAGTGCCATGTCCACACCCACGATCCCAACTGGCAAAACCCTGGGCCGCTGAAATGGAGCGCGCGAACTTAACCACTCAGCCACGGGGTCAGCTCCCAAGTTTATATAATTTTAAGGGCCTCTTCAGTTAATGCTTTTGTGAAACCATTGCCACTTCAGTATATTTTTGCATCAGTCTGGAAGATCACATATTGGAAAGCGGAGTACACCTGTATGATGTATATTCTGGTGACCTGAGTTGGGCCTTATGCATGGACTGCAGGTCTCCACAACCTCTCATGCCAGCCCTTGTCCTTGTTTAGGTGTCATTCATCACATCTGCCCTTCTCATGTCCCCACAGTCTCTTTGGATATAATCAGCAACAGCAGCCATTCTTTTGAGAGACTCGTGTGTACTTGGGGTTGAAATTCCTTAAGTCAAGAGTTTTAATTTACTTTTGTAAGGTGCCATTCGGTACTTTTAACAGGCGTCATAAAGAGAAGGAACTAAAATCAAACTGAGAGCGACAAAGCAAAACAATATTATAAACAAAAAAAATCACAACTTTGTACAAAAGGAGTCTAGTTCTTCTCTCTCTTCTTATAGGGCCTATTTTCTAAGTATTTAATAATTTTCCTTTTTCTCTACTGGACCAAATGCATGTTATTAACATTAGACTTTAATTGTGGGATGCCTAATGAATACAGAACTCTAGTAAAGACTTATGTGAAGCTGAATCTAGAAGATCCTTCTGTCCTCAGGTTCTATGTTGTATATTTTATAACTTTGTTCTGTCATCTTTGGATCTTTAAGGATAATGGTCAGGGATAGCACCAATCAGTGTCATCTTAGGATTACCTAACTATTCCATTTTTAGCTATTATTGTCCCACTTCATCAGAAGTATAAGAATGATTTAAATGTTAGATTCTTTTCCTTACCTATAAGTTAGTGAATGTGTTAGTGAGCAGTAAAATGGTTATGAAAAACCCCAAACCCCAAAAATCTGAATGTACTTATCTGAGTACCTTTTCAAAGGTTTCCTTTTGTCCCTCAAGCCCAGTAGTTTCTATTCTAAGATAACTAGTCTTCACGACTCCCTTAATCTGGGGTGACAGAAGCGTATGTCTTTCCAGTTGATTTCTGGGAATCTAGTTTTGTTCTTGGTCCATCTTCTGCTCAAACTGAATGGAGATTCATTTGTCTGATAAGCAAAGTTTCCCTTCCCAGCACGTTCGGTTTTAAATGGTAGATTCAAAGGGGTGGTTGGGGAGAGTGACAGTAGAGCTGGGAATTTCAGCTGGAAGTTCCGGGGCTACCACCTCGACACTTCTGTAGTTGGTTAGGTTCTGGAACACATCGCAGTCCATTTCCACAGTGAGCATCTGGAGCCCCACCTGCGTCGGTGTGAACCGGAATTGGGTGTACGAGGTATCTCCAGGCCACACCGCATCTAATCTGAAATATAGGAAAAGGCAGGTGGTAGTTCCGTCCTAGGTTCATTGCTTTGCTAGCCCCAGTGACTCGATCCTTCCCTACGTGAAGAGGCAGACTGTGAAGAAATAAACATACAAGTACCTTGCTGTTAAAACAGAGGCGGCTTTCAGGGGAAGACAGTAGCCCCCCTGCGGTGGGCAATTGCGTGGTTGAGAAGAGAAACATCCTATTCTAAGGGCTTCCAAGCTACATCTCTTATTTCTTTTATCACCTGTGACTTCAGTCTGGTCCCACCTAGGTAATAATACTGGGTATGTTTGCAAAAGCTATAGGTTTGGAACCCTCACATTGCAAAGTGCAGTGGTACAGCAGACATATTGGGAAGATGTCACTATGTCAATAGATGGTGTTTGGAACCCTTTCAGCAACCCTTAGCCTGCCTGTGGACCTTCTTATGGTGACTGAGGGAATGGTGCAGATTTCCTTTGAGGAGCTTTGCCCCATAATTGATCTGGGAGACCACAAAAGTCTGGTTAAATGTTGGCAGTCCTTCCTCTTAACTTATTGACAAGAATGATGCATTGCATTTCATGAGTCTGAGGCAGTGGCTCAAAAACCAGACAACCTGTCAGGGACCTCGGGGATGGTAGGAATAGACATTGTGAACTCTAACCTGTACACTGTGTGTTCACCGAAGGATGCCGTGGACATGAGAGAAGGAGAGAGAATGAAAGAAGATACTTGCAACATCTAAAACCAACAAGGAACTAATACCTAGACTATACAGGGAACTCCTACCAGTCAACAAGGAAAAAAGTCAGGAATACCAAAAGAAAAGTGGGTGAAGACAGGAACAAACTTTACAGAGAAGGAAATGGAAAAGGCTAATAAACATATGAAGATTTACAAATTAAAACACCAGTGAGATACTACCTTATGTCGTTTGGAAAAAAGAAAGAAAGCTGGGTATTGCCAAGAGTGGAGGAATGGAAGGAGCAAAGAAACTGTCATGAACTGCTGGAGGGAGTGCAGACTCCTGCAGCCATTCTGTAAACAAATCTGATAGTACCTGCTCAGACCTGGTCATGTCCTGTGACTCAGCAATTCTATTCCTGGACATATATATCCTCCCTCTCCCGCCAGAGTTTCAAACAAGTACATAAAGAGACACGTGTGAGGCTGTTCATTGCAACAGTATTTGTGGTGTCTGAAAGTTGGAGGCAATGTGGGTGCCCGTCACTGTGGAGTGGAGTGGTAGGAAGTGGGGGACGTGCACGGTGTAATATCATGTAGCAGAAGCAGTGGACTTGATATATGTGGATGAACCTTAAAAACAGTTCTCAATGAAAAGTAGGAAAAAGAATTAGACATAACATCATTTATATAAGTTAAAAATACAGCTCATGATCTAACAGTACACATCTTACTAATGAAAGGATACACATACTAATGAGGATATGAAGGGTGGTGGTGGGAATGGGAGTAGGGAATAGGAATAAAAACGAATATTCAAACAAAATTCTGTATTGTAGTGGTCATTAGTAGAATGCAGCTCTCTGGCTGCACGGAGAGGCAGACCACACTCCCTGTGATAGTCTCCAGTCCCCAGCCCTAACCTCCTCGCCTGCAGTCACCAGCAATACCCACGATCTTCCTACATCACCAGGCCAGCAACCAGGGTCAGGTGGGTGCCCAAGGGGTACACAGCCTCCCTCACTCCCGTACCCCTGTAGACATGGTGGCCCCAGGATGAGAGAGGCCCTAATCCTTTAGTTCAGCTTCGGGGGGTATTTGCTCTGTCTCTATGGACATGGCAAAAAGTCAGTCATTAATCTTGGGTCCCTGCCTTTCTGAGCAGTTGAGATGTTTCAGTGGGATGAGAGGCTTGTGGTCTCTTACCTGTAGCTCCTCTCTTTGTGAATGAGCCTCCTTCCATAGATGGAGACCACACAGTCCTTCATGGGAGCATGTAGGGTGTTATGGATGCTAACCAAGGCCGTAAGAGGTTGGTGTTGCTTTACTGTCTTTGGCATCTGTGGGAAGAGGCAAAACCTGGAGCAGATGCCAAGAGCACAGAGCCGCAGTCACTCCTCGCCCCGCCCCCATGGCACCCTCCTTGTACCCTCCTCAGTTACTCTTCTACCTCTGCCATTCTCACCCAAACTCCACAGCTGACTTCTTTACCCCTCTACCTCATCTTCCTGCATTTACTCTCACCCTTGATCCACCACTGACCATCTCTGACTGTGCCTCTCCTCTGCTTAGAAACCTTGGAGGGTTTCAGCTTCACTTGGCATTCCCCGAGCCCTTCATGGTCTGACCCCACTATCTCTCCAGCCTCATCTGTTCTTCCCTTGTCCAAAAGACATCCCTGCCAGGTCAGGCACTTTCCCATCCCCAGCGTACCCCTCAGGCTCCTTTCCTTTCAGCCTCTTTGCTCAGTCTTCTGCCCACAATGGCCTTCCCCCAGCTTTGCACTGAAAACCTACCCCTTTTTCAAGGTCCAGCATAAATGCTACCTCCCCCATGAAGTCTTCCTCAAACCCATCAGCTGGAATGAATCCTTTTTACTTCACTTATTGCATAGTGACTTTGTACCTCTATTAAAGCACTTGTATAGAAGACCGAACGATGTGTCTCCTTTACCCGACTATAATCTCATTGAGGGCAGGGACGAGATTGCATTTATTTTGGCTGGGGTAGACACGTGGAAAGAGGACAGGACCAAGAGCTATAAGCCTCTAAAACATCCCGTTTTTATGATCTTGGGCATGTTGTTCTCTAGGACTGTTTCCTCATCTGAATAATGGAAAAAATTCCACCTCACAGAGCTTTTGTATTAAAACAAATAAATGAGGAGAAAATATGTTGGCATATGTATAAAGTGCTAAATAAACATAGGCTATTATTATTTTTATAAGTATGGAGGCAGTAACTTGGAAGGCCCTGATTTTCGAAAACTTTACTTAACCAACTAAAGAAGTTGGAAAATTTAAACCTTAATAGCATATGTAAGAAAGCTTCTCTTTTAAGAGAAGGAGCTCTTAACC